TCATAGATAACCAAATTGATGATCGATTTAGGAGCATGGAGAAAATGATGAAGAGGCCCTGGAGATTCAATCCAAGACCCCGCCTACGTTCAAATTGCAAACCTTAACCAAGGGTTAATCAGAAAATCCTTGGTCTAATCGAAAGGAAAGGAAACCGAACGAGAGGGCGACGGGGAGGAAAGAATCTACCACCAAGAGCTTTCCCCTAGGACTCCGAGAGAAGGGGAGTGAAAACTTACAACTAAGGGGGATGGGATAAAAATTGGAGGAGGGGTGTTGCAAGGGGCACGAAGGAGCACGACAAAGAAAGAAGAGAAGCAGGAAGGAGGCATGACCATGATCGAAGGAGAGTTTCACCCTAGATATATGGGAGAAAAAGTCAAAGGGAGAGAAAGTTTGGGTGGAATGCAAGGGTAAGAAAAATGAAGATGTTTATCTTCAAAGGGGAAGATGCACAGAGGTGGGTGTATCTGGTGGAGTGATACTTTGCAGTAAATAGGTTAACCGAAGAAGAGGAACTCATGGCGGAATGATTATGTTTGAAGGGAAAGGCCTAGCATGATTTCAGTGGATGGGGGCGAGTAACTCGATTCATTCGTGGAAAAAGTTTAAGAATTGCTTGTTGGAGTGTTTTCGAGCCATACGGGAAGGAGACCTACAAGAGCAATTTTATGCCCTAACTTAGGAGGGGATGGTCACGGAATACAAGTAGAAGTCCGAGCTCTTGTCGGGGTGGCTAAGGGGTATTTCTATAGCAGAACTGGAGGGAACTTTTTAAAGGGCTTGAAGCCCGACATTCAAGCAGCCCTCTGGCCTCTGAGACCGCGAAGATTGAGGGAGATGATGAAGCTCGCCTAGATGATGGAAGATAAGAAATAGGTGAAGAGGACCAACAAGTCAAACACGAGCAGGTCCTGGGCTTGCTCATGTTCGACTGTTTTACACCCCTAGAGGAAAACACGGTGGAGAAAGAGGAGCATTTGCACTTTGATGTTGCGGAGGTGTCCCTTAATTTAGTGATGAGATTTACTACAAATCACACTATAAAGGTGAGAGAACAGATCGGAGAGCAGACGATTGTAGTGTTGGTGGATATTGGATTTCATCTCAAATCAAGTAGTGGACCAATTGGGGTTTAAGCTAGTAGATACAGGAAGCTTTGGTATCATGATGGGGGCAAGGAACGTAGAGAAAAGTTTGAGAATTTGCAAGGGAGTAGCTCTGATACTATAAGATCTACAGGTAGTAAAATAGTGATTGTGGGGATGAAGAAGCTGCGGACACTTGGGGAGATGGAGATGGATTGGAACTCCTTGAAGATGAAGTGCAAGGTGGAGGCTCGGAAGGTGGCACTGAGCGGAGATTCCATCCTATGCAGAACCATAGTCTTGCTCAAAACCATGGTCAAGACGATACAAAGAGCAAGGTTAAACTATTTGGTGGAGTTACATAACATATAGGAGATCTGGGATCAAGAGTAAGAAGAGTTTATCAAGGAGTTTAGCATCTCCTGCAGCAGCTTCCCGAAGTAATTCAACAGCCGAACTGAATACCTCCACTGAGGGAGCACTCGCATGCCATTAACCTAAAGGAGGGGTGTCCATCCTATCAATGTCAGGTCGTGCCAATATCCTCGGATTTAGAAGGATGAGATAGCAAAGTTGATTCAAGGGATGCTCGAAGAGGGAATTATCAGACCCAGTGTGAGCCTCTTTTCTAGTTCAATCTTGTTGGTGAAAAAAAAGTTGGTAGATGGAGATTTTGCTTGGACTATCCGGCTTTGAACAAGGAGACTATATTGGATAATTTCCCTATCTCTGTAATTGATAAGCTGCTAGATGAGTTGTATGGAGCAGTCATCTTGTCAAAAATCTAACTAAAGTCGAGATACCAACAAATCAGAATGAATCAAGTAGATGTGCACAAGACAGTGTCCAGAACACATGAAGGACATTACGAGCCCTTGATAATATTGTTTGGCCTCACCAATGCCCCGGCCACATTTCAATCCCTCATGAATAGGATTTTTTAGCATTACCTCAAGAAATTTGTCCTGGTCTTCTTTAATGACATTCTGATCTATAGTCTTACAGAGATAGAGCATGTAGGGCACCTTAGGACAGACCTGGAAACGTTTAGGAAGCACCAATAGTACGCCGATTTGAAGAAATGTTACTTTGCATAGCTACAGGTGAAGTACCTAGAGCATCGTGGTGACTATGGCAAGAGTGGCAATGGACCCATCTAAGATCGATGCTATGATGGATTGGCCTTTACCTAAGAGTTTGAAGGAGTTGAGGGGATTCCTAAATCTCACCGAATACTACCGGCAAATTCGTGAAGGGATACGACGCGATAACATGGATTTTGACGAAGCAACTGAAGAAAGATAATTTAAAGCGGGAGAAGCAGCAATACGGGCCTTTGAACATCTGAAGAGAGCCATGACTAGCGTACCAACATTAGCATTTTCATATTTCAGTAGGTCATTTGTGGTAGAAACAGATGAATCAAGGTACGGATTGGGAGCAGTACTCATGCAGGACAAGTGGTCAGTTGTCTACTTCAGCCAAGTGCTCACAGCTAGGGCTAGGCTCAAGTCCGTGTACAAGCAAAAAATTATGGCTATTGTCTTAGCCATTCAGAATTGGAGGAACTACCTGTTAGGACGACACTTTCTCATTAGAACATATCAAAGGAGCTCCAAGTATCTTTTAGAGCAAAGGATGGTGATGAGTAACATCAAAGATGACTATCCAAGTTATTAGAATATGATTTATAGATTCAATACTGACCAGAATTGAAGAATAAAGCCACAGATGCCCTGAAGAGAAAGGTGGAGTCCCAGCTAATAGCCTTATTGGTGCCCTTGTTCCTATATTGGGAAGCCCTGAGACGGAAGAGCAAGCAAGAAGAAGAGATGAGAAAAATGCAGGCAGAACTGCTACAGGATCTCTATCCAGGATATGCACAGATGGTGCGACAACTACTCCACCAGGAGCGATTCGCGTTGCCAAGGGCATCAAGGTACATCCCCAAGCTATTGCAAGTGTTTCACAAAAGTGCAATTGGGGGACATTTAAGGTTACATAAGACATACCATCGTATATCAACAGAGCTTTATTGGATGGGTGCAGAGACGTAGAGGACATGGTAGCAATGTATGGTGTGTGTTGATGACACAAGTACTTGAACATATTGCCAAGAGGGTTACTACAGCCCTTAGCTTTACCGGAGGAGGTTTGGAAAGAAGTAAAGATAAATTTTATGAAGGGTTTGCCAAAATCATAAGGGTTTACAATGATCTTGGTGGTAGTGGATCGTCTGAGAAAGTATGCACATTTCATTCCATAATGAAGCCCTTTCACGACAGTCTCAATTGCTACGGTGTTCATACGGGAAGTGCTCCGTTTGTATGGAGTGTTGAAATTTATTGTATTAGACAAGGTCATAGTGTTCCTTAGCCAAATCCGGAAGGAGCGGTATTAGAGTTCCTTAGCCAAATCCGGAAGGGGCGGTTCAGTTTATAAGGAATGGTTCTTAAGAGAAGCACAACATATCAACCCTAGAGCGATGGCCAAATGGAGGTGGTCAACATAAATGTGAAGACATGTTTGCGTTGTTTTGTGTCGAATACGTTGAAGCTTTGGGCTAGGTGGATTGTGTAAGCCAAATATAGGTATAATATTTCAAACCATACTGCAGTACATACCACCCCTTTCAAAATTTGTATAGGAGAGATCCATCTCACCTGCTACATTATGGGCATAACACTACATCGGTAGCCGGTGTCGACCAGTACTTGGAGGAGAGGTGCAAAATATTGTCACAGCTCAATGGGCATGCACTGAGAGCTCAACAGACCATGAAAAAGGCAAATAGACAAAGTAGAGAGATACAATTCGAACCCAGGAATATAGTTTACTTGAAGTTGAGGCCCTACCGACGGAAGACATTGGCCAGCGGAGGAGCGAGAAACTTTCTCCACGATAGTTTGGACCTTATGAGATTACGGCAAACATCCGTGCATAAGCCTACTGTTTGAAGTTACCACCATCATCAGCACTACATCCAGTTTTTCATACTTATCAGCTAAGGCGGACTATCGAAGATCATACACAATCGTCTTCACTACCCCCGATGTTAACAAAAGACATGGAGGAGATTTTGGACCTTTAGCAATCGAAGTGCACTGATGAGTGCTAGGATAAAATGAGGTATTGATTAAAAGGAAAGATCCACCAGATTATGAAGCAATATGGGATCCTTAAAAGGGTATTCAAAAGGAGTTTCCATCCTTCCATCTTGAGAACAAGGTGCTTCTTTTAGAAGGTGTTGATACGTTTGCGCCTATTTTGATGGAAGGGAGAGCCGAAGGGAGAGGCGACCGATCCGAATTGAACCGATTTGGCCCGGCCCTACCCAGCCTGCCCAGATTGAGCAAGACATCAACACCCGGGTGGGGTCCACACAACCGCTAATCACGTACAAGAGAGGAATCAAGGGGCTTTTGGGGTAAAATTTTGAAGAGGATCTTGGAGAGTATTTATGAGGTAAATTGTCTAGGTTTATTTTTATGTTTTGTTTGGCTACAATTTTTCTTTTATCTTGGTGTTCCTAGTGGTGTTTAGGATTCATGGAGAGACGTTCCACCTCTTGAACAATAGATCAACAATGTATCTTGTTTGCTTTCATTGGTATAAGTAAAATCAGCAATCATTTGAGTTCCCCATCTCTCTCTTGCAATTTCTTCATTATTTTTCGTTCTGGTTCGTATCATGAGGCTACTCTATATTCAGTCACTTCTAGAAATCTTTCACAGCACATCAAAAATACTGACAATGTATGTAAAAAATGAAGTTTAGGTCTTAATTATGTAAATACATAAGATTTCAGTGGTATGCCTATAAATCTTCCTATTTAAAAATTTACTAGTAAAAAGGCTTTTAGAATAAAAAAAATCAATACAAAATCTACATAATTTCATCAAGCATTTGTTGAACTTCCTACAACTTCATCGACTAACCACTTACTTTGCAATAACAGATATGTTGAATTCCTCCAACGGCACTTCAAACTCAAACGGGGATAACAACAGTGGAAAGAATGTAATTATTTCAATAAGTAAGACTATTTCTCAGCGTCTCCTTCTCATAATAATCAACTCGAAAAATAAACAACTGCTTGGCATTGCATTCTTCAGATCTTATTGGTATTTATACTATTTTTTAATTTTTGAAATGCAGCATCAATTATAGTTGGTGGCATTGTGATTATAGTTGTTGCATATCTAATGATAAAGTGCATTCAGAAGATCAAAATGCAGAAAATTAAAATGTATTTTCGATCCTCAAGAGTTCTATCCGATGAATCGTTCGAATCAACAAGTAACGCAGACGAAAGAACAGAGTATATTTCAATAACTACAAATTCGATCCCCAAACACGTAACCATTGAGAGATTTCTTGATGACATCCAGAAGGAGAAACCAATAAGATTAACTCCACACGACCTCAACGAATTCACTAGTAACTTCGCCGTGAAATTGGGTTCTGGCGGATTTGGAGTGGCGTATAAAGGCCAGTTTCCAAATGGCATTCATATTGCAGTGAAGGTCCTGCACAAAACTCTAGATAAGAAAGCTGAGGAGCAATTCATGGCAGAAATAGGCACAATAGTAAAGACTAATCACATTAATCTGGTCAGGCTATATGGGTTCTGCTACGATGCTGAAGTAAAAGCGCTTGTGTACGAGTATATGGAAAACGGCTCGCTCGATAGTTATTTGTTTGACACAAAGCATAGACTTGAATGGTCAAAACTGTACGAGATCGTCGTTGGAACGGCGAAGGGAATACGCTATCTTCATGAAGAGTGCCAGCAAAGGATAATACACTATGACATAAAGCCTGGAAATGTTCTTCTAGACTCAAACTTTGTGGCGAAAGTATCAGATTTTGGACTAGCGAAGCTCTGCAGTAGAGATGCAACTCATGTTACTAACACGGGAGGAAGAGGGACTCCCGGTTACGCAGCGCCGGAGATGTGGCTGCCATTGCCGGTGACGCACAAATGCGATGTCTATAGCTATGGAATGTTGTTGTTTGAAATACTGGGGGGAAGGAGGAACCTAGAATTGAACGCCAGTGAGAGCCAAGAGTGGCTACCAAGATGGATATGGGAGATGTATGAGAAAGGGAAGCTGAGCAGAATAAAGTTGAGTTGCATAATCGAGATGATTCAAATGGAGAAAATCGAAAGAATGTGTAAAGTTGCGCTCTGGTGCATTCAGTATAAGGCTGAGGCAAGGCCTTCGATGAGTAATGTGGTGAGGATGTTAGAAGGGCAAGAGGAAATCATGGCGCCTCCGAACCCATTTCAGTACTTTGCTTCACATGAAGCAACTTCAGGTGTAGATACAGAAACTAGTTCGTCTGGTTCAGTGTCCAGTGCTTCCATGTGAAAGATGTACATGCATACCACTCAATTCCAGTGTATTTACATATCTAATACCTAAACCTCAGTTTTTGCATGCATGCCACTTAACCTATGCATGAAAAGATGTATTTCACTTTTTGAAAGTAAAAATGGTGGTAATTTTAATGGGATATGAAAGTGAAAGATTTGGTGAAAGATTTGGTTGGTATAAATGTAAAAAGTAAAGTTTAGGTGTTAGATATGTTAATACATAGGAATTGGGTGGTATGTATACAAATGTCCCAAACTTTGATTACATTTTTACAGTTTCTAGAACTGGTTGTTGCTTATATTTAGGCCCTTAATACTAGAAACAACATTCACAGCATTGTGTGCTCATTTGTATCAAAGAAACATAAGTGAATTCATTTGCTCTAATATCCTTGTCAAGGATGTAGATTTTTGTACTTAGTTTTCCGATGTCCAAAATCAAGTAATTTTTGCATCATGTCACTAGTTTTCTAGTAATTAAGCTAAAAGATTGCACTCTTTTGCTAATCTCTCTTTGCTAATTTCTGTACAAAATATTATGATTGGGCAGGAAGATATAACTGCAAATTCTATAGCTACTCTGGATCATAGACTCTAGTCTGTTTCAAACCATTTGTCTAAGAATCGGCTCTCAAGTCAGTGAAGAATTCCATATCTGCAAGCAAGGTTGCACGTTTCTATTGAATCAACTAAGGAAGCATCTCCTTGAAATTTTGCCAATCGATTCATTGTGAAAAGGTCCTACTATTTAATACTGAACGGATCAGGACATCGCCCCAACATTCTCTTTTACAATTCATAAAAGGAAGTAGCAGTGTAAAATCAGTATTATCAGTTGACGCCGAGTATAATACATACTCGGGCAGGCAAGCAATAAAGAATCATAGAAATTTTTATGATGTTTCTTCTACACATATGTGAGCATAATAACAAAAAAAATTATTGTTGATAAATATCAAGCATATTTCAATAGGTGATTATATTGTTGATAAACAATTATAAACAATAGCCAGATTATTTTTTGTCAGGTCTACTTCTACGCAAATTTTGTTAGAGAGGTGAGCACAATCACAACCAATTGGTTTTCATAAACCTCTACCACGATTTTAATATTCTAAAACATCCCCCAATCAAAGCTATAAATATGCCTTAAGTTGAGTGCTCTGAAAAGCTCACACACCTGTGGGTGTTTTTCTTTTGCTCTTTTTTAGGTTTCAAAAAGAGCTTCTTATGCTTTAAGAGACATATTGCCTTGAAGCTTTTCAAAAATTCCTCCCTTCAATTAAGCAGGGTTCTTTTAAGATCTTAGAGATCACAACTTTCTATGGGTAAAAGTTGATACCAGAGTTAACCCAAACCGCAATAAGAAAGCAAATATTATTACCGAAAAGGCCAATAGGCACTTAATCCCACGCATGAAAACTGAAAACAACAACAACACGACACGCGACACACAACTATGATTGGATCCAAGATGTTTGAGGTGATCAATGAGGGTTTGGAAGGTAGCGGAATGATGGACATGGCTGCGGCAAGCAGAAAACAGCAAAGTACAGTTTCCCAGATTCCAGACAGCAAGCACACAACAAATATTGGCGTGGGCTGGCTGTCCTGGAAGACGGTAGCAAGAGAAAAGGGTATGGTGGCAAATTCTGGAGGCGGCAGGATGTGAGAAAGTAAGGAGCAGTGGCTGGGAAGACCGGAAAAGGCATAAACAGCAGTAAGGTTGTGGAGAAGGGCAGTCCTGGCGGCTGGAACAACTGCAAGACTGCAGGGAGGAGGGTCCTAAACGGCTGGAACAGCAACAAAACAGCTAGGAACGGCTGTTCAAGGCAGCAGCAGCGACAACAAGGGGAAATGATGGCGGCGGGGGGAACGGGCGGCAGGGGGAAATGATGGCGGCAGCGGCAACGAGAGGGAATAATGGCGGCAGTGACGGGAGATGCAAGGGACTGCGAAGGTGCTGTCATCAGAGGTGGCTTCAATAATGGGTGGTTGGAACAGTAGGGCGGCAAGGGGCAGTTGTGGAGGATGGGGGAAAGCCGAGGATAAATATTACCCTGGGAGCGAGATACAACTAGCGCAACACTAGACCTTTGAAGAATAATCACCACCTCGGAATAAGATACAGTAGGAGCACCACTCACTTTTGGATACAGTCAAAACAAGAGAATAAGAGACATCGACGACTGTCTAGACAGAAACGCAATCAAAATTACTTATAGACCTAGGATCAAGAGAAGTGGACCTTGCTCCAAATAGAAGGGAAGCCAATGCTTGAAGGACCGGACTGTCCCTTCTTTGTCTAGACTGAACCAGTCCAGGGCACAAGCAATCACAACAATTGTTGCATAGGGCACTGTACACCTGAGTTAGTCTCCCAGGATTTAAGGGGAGCTTCAACCTCATTATTTAAAACTTCTGTCTGCAAATTGACGATAACAGAACTGTTGTAGCCTCCTTGGGCTGGAGGATATTTGACTGCGTCTCTAGGAACACCTGGATTCCACTGTTGACTGCATTGTCTCCCAAACACCTGAGGAGTTTTTGCTGCTTGTAATTAGTCATCCACATTGGTCCATCTCAGGCTACAATGTTGGACTGAACTAGGAATTCACGCCAAGTGTGCCCTACGGTTACTTCCAAAGGTAACGTCAAGCTGGCTCTTCTCTATCTGACTTGAGAATAGGCTAAACTCCCTTGGACAGTAGTGGCCATTGTAGTAAAGTATCAATCATGAAGCCTTGAAATGGTCTCTACAGTGACAACCCCATATCTAGAATTGGTGTCTTTGTCCCACTAACCTTAATCATCATTAAAACCAAGCTTGTTGGCGCTTCTTCGCTGGCAAGAGCATTTGTAATCTTAGACTCTACAAAAGGTAAGAGAGCAATGTGTTTTCTACCCTTTAAGTCCTGTGATCAAACTATCACAGTTTCCCCAACAAGATGTTGCAAGCATACATGGGCACCTGTCGGCCGTTATTTTTTATATTTTTGGAAGTAATTTAAATTTAATTTGATATATTTATAAATTTGATTTTTAAAAAATAGTATGTTAATTTTGAAAAGTAATGTTCTAATTTTGAAAAATACGAGACCAAACTGATCTCATATATTTAATAGTTTAAACAATCGAGCGCAACACCACAAGCGATGTCTCTATCCCAAAGAATAAATACATTGTTTGATAATGAGGCTCGATTAAATAAGCTACAAAACTTATGACACTCATTTGGTCTGTGAAAATATTTTTTTACATAAGTCGACAAGTTTTTCAATCTAATATAGAAGATTAGATAGGGTTTATATTATATGGGTTCTTAAAGCTCCCTATAGAGGCAAACCCTTATAGTTAATTACCTCTCAAACGACTAAAGTCACTTAAGAGAACTCTCGATGATGATCAGAGGTATCCACCTTCATAAATTCAAAGTTTAGGATTTTCAATGTTGAACATAGAAAAATTAAGTGGGAAAAGGACCAACTGGAAACATTTATTTCTGGAGTTTAAGGAAAGAAAAATAGGGGATATCACGGATCTTGAGGATAACCTCAGTGACTTCTCAAACTATTCTATTGTTTGGCTTCAATTTGAAAATATGTTATTTGATATTTCATTCTGCCTGTTTTATTATATAGGGCTTACATTTACGTGACACAGTCAAACAAATGTCCTGGAAGATAGAAGAGTTTACGTCGTATCGGACAATGCCCTCGGAGCCTAAATCAAATTAGGGCTTAAATTGCACAACATGGTTGTGCAAAGACCTAAAAGATAAGGTGAGGATTTATGTCGCACTAGGCAAACCACCTCGAAGTCATGTGACTTGTTGTTTAATTCTAAGGAAATGTTTGTTGTTGTATATTTGTTTGCTCTCTCAAAGTTGTTCTTCTGAATATCCTCGCATGCTGCCCACGGTGTTAGCTCCAAGCTTCACACCGAAGCAGTTTCAGGTTTAATGTTAAATTTAAATGTACATGCAATTGTTGGGTCAATAATCCGCCGCCATGTATCTCCTATAAAACCATACTACTGTCCTATTCTAAAAGATATAATACACATAGATAAAATAAACGGTAGTAGGTGCAGTAAAGGAAAGCATTAAATAGTGCAGTAAGGAAAGCAACAGTAAAGAAAATTCAGTAAATATAAAGTAAAGAAGAGCAGTAGAATGTGCAGTACAGACAGTAACATGTTATAAACATAAAAGAAATCTGTGAACCTGGTGGGTCTGCTGCTCCTGCGAATGGGATTAGCGTCACAGGTGAAAATAAACAAGTATAATGGGGAGTTTAGCAGGTGGAGCAAACATGCATTTATGAGTTAAAGAACAAGTGGGAATGCATCTCATGAAAGACTCGAAGAAAAATTGGGAGTGACCCACGGAAACTCAAAGAAAATCGTAGAAAATGCACAGAACACCGAAGAAAACCGTAAGCACTCAGGTCGGGAGGACTCAGAATAAAGAACCGGGGTCGAAATCAAGACCCCGAGGCCCTAATAAAACAGTCAACACCATGTATGTATAATCCAACACTAAGTAAAAGGTTGTCGGCCTAACAGTCACAAAAATTTGTAATTCCTAATCTGGTTTATATGACTGGCCCGTGAATTTTTCAAAAAATATTTGAGAAGAATTTCATTTTTTAAAAGAGATTTTGATTTTTCATGCACTTAAAAGATTTATTTTTATGTGTGTGTGTGTGTGTGTCATTTAAAGAAATTTTCATACCTTAAAAAGTTAATGAGTCGGTCATATTGTTAGATTGAAACTTCCAACTGTCTCTAAAAGCAAGAAATAAAACTTTACTAAGTGTTAGAGAGGCAGTAATGTCAATCATTCATTCTCTCAAAATCACTGAGTCAGGATTGTGCTAGAACTTCTCACACATACCTAGATGTATTTTTCATCATTGTCCTTGAACCTCAAAACCGTCCAACTTACGACCTTGTTTGATGATTCATATATAGCCACAACTATATATGCTTGTTTATATTTCAGATATAAGCACCTAAATCAAACCAAGAAGCAAGGAAATAAAAGAAGAAAAATGAGATGAGAGAGAGGAGGGACAAATCCACCTAAAAGAGCAAAGACGTAAAAGGTGGTTCAAC